GTCTGTCTGTCTGTCTGTCTGTCTGTCTGTCTGTCTGTCTGTCTGTCTGTCTGTCTGTAAAAAAAAAACATTGTCAACTCAGTTTATTACATGTTGCTCTTCATTTTATGAGCAAAAGCACATTGACATATTACTAATGGAAATCCCTCAGAACAGTATATTTCCTATAAAGGATAATATTAAAACGCTTTAAACTTCACACCTAATACCTGCCAGTATCTAACTGTCACAAATGTAAAGTTCTTTACTACATTGTATGTTTCTTTCTCTTAGTTCACTGACATTTTCTCTCACTGTGTTCGATTTATGCCATGTCTTTGTGTTCGAGTTCACCTGCAGAGCTGCAATTCTCAGTACTTTATTTCAATGTCAACAGAAACAACAAAGGCAGAGACATCAAAACAATAAAGTCCCTCCGAGTTTTGAGAGTTCTGCGGCCTCTTAAAACCATCAAGAGGCTCCCTAAACTCAAGGTCTGATGAAGCTAATAAAAACTTGCTGTTGCTTTGCAGGCTCTTTGGAGATTGTATTTGCTTTACCACCCTCTTCTTTTTCTTCTCCACAGGCGGTTTTTGACTGTGTGGTCACATCTCTAAAGAATGTCTTTAACATCCTCATTGTGTATCAGCTCTTTATGTTCATCTTTGCTGTCATCGCGGTCCAGCTCTTTAAGGGGAAGTTCTTCTTCTGCACTGACAGCTCCATGAAAACAGAAAAGGAATGTCGGTAAATAAGCGTCTAAACTATTCTCTTATACTCAGATTAGTGTTTGGTATGCACTGTATATATCAACAGAATCCTCCTACATGTTGTCAGGCTGGATAAGCATATTCTACATGCTGTATAACAGGGGAATTGTTAACATACAACCTGAAAATTAAGAGACAATGTTATTTCTTTATGTTACTATCATAAATGGGTTAGAGCAAAAAAAATGTTTAACATTTTGGAAATTGTTTGTTCACATTCCTGTTAAATGAAGTCATACCATTCTTGTCTTTGAATATTGGGTATGTATCCTAAAGAAAGCCTATTACAGGAATACTGTGAGGTTTGCATAATGCAGAATTACAGAGCAAAATCAGTTAGGGTTTTAGGAGAGCACCGGTCTTTAAAATATGTATTCTATTTAAAGCTGCCAAAGCTTGTTACAATTTTGTGGTAAAACATCTTACAGTGATTTTAAAAAAAAATCTGTTCGCAATTGGAAGTTTAACTTACAGTATTTATACATAAAAAATGGCTGTAACTGAATGCAGATGTAGTGATCAATATTTCACTACATCAATATTTCTTGCTTGCAGAAATGGCCACCTACATTTTTCTGAACAGAAACTCCAAACTTCTAAAAGGGCTTAACCCTTTATATCATGTTCCTTAAAAGCTCTTACCAATAATTCAAATTTTACCCAATATTAATAATAAATTTTACCCAATTTATCCACAATGTGATATAAATCCCTCTATTAGAATTCACGCTTAGTATTCACATATAACCAAACCTTCAGTAGTGTTCATTAAGCTGCAGATGTGATAAGTGAATAAAGTGAAAAGATGACCTTCAGTCTGTTCTGTTCCCTGCAGAGGCTTTTACATTGACTACAGCAGAGACAAAAAGGAGGTCAAAAGAAGAGAGTGGAGAAGACACGAGTTTCACTACGACAATGTCTGCTGGGCCCTGCTCACGCTTTTTACTGTGTCAACTGGAGAAGGGTGGCCTCAGTAAGTTCACGTGCTAATTGTAGCATTTGAGACAACATGCTCACTGTTAAAGCTCTGAAAGAGCAAAGAAAACAGACTTTAAAATGCCCCCATTCTAAGTAGTCTTTCTTTATTTATCTGCTATACTCCTCCCTCTGTATCTGAGACTGGGTTGAGCCCATCCACCCTTACAGAAAAATGGGATTTCATCTGTTTCCATCCTAATGTTTTTCTAAATATTAATATGCAATGCTCATAGGTGAGGGGTGTGCTGTAAAAGGATCAGTGCTTTGGATCAGCTCTTTCTTCACCATTAAAGCAGCAACTGCTTTAATGATTCACCTGTCATCTCATGCTTCATTCTACCATCTCTTGTTAAATACACAGAGACTAACCCGTGAGCCCAACAGAGCATTCTACCTCTTTGCTATTGAGAACTACAACCTAACACTTGTTTTTCAGTGTCCTTGTGAAATATGTAACATAACCAAAATAAAATACACGAGGGGAAAGACTTATTCTAAATCATTTTTAGAATTTTCAGTGTCTGCTCTTTATTTGTTGTTTTTTTGCATTAGCCTGAGTGAACTCAAGAATATCACTGTAGATATTTTACTGTTCAAAAGTAGAAACAGGAAATGCAAAAAGATAATTGTCTCTTTTTTATGATCCAGGGTCCTTCAGCACTCCACCGATGTCACAGAGGAGAACATGGGGCCGAGCCGTGGGAACCGGATGGAAATGTCCGTCTTCTATGTGGTCTACTTTGTGGTTTTTCCATTCTTCTTCGTCAACATCTTTGTGGCTCTTATCATCATCACTTTCCAAGAACAGGGTGATAAGATGATTCAAGAGTGCAGCCTGGAGAAGAATGAGGTATGAACAACGTTTGTCAGTGTCGTTAAAGGCATAATTGTTCTTTATACTGTTAAATTTCTCCCCATCAGAGGGCCTGCATTGACTTTGCCATCAGCGCCAAGCCGATGACCCGCTACATGCCTCAGAACAGACAAACCTTCCAGTACAGACTCTGGCACTTTGTGGCATCGCCTTCTTTTGAGTACACAGTTCTTGTCATGATCGCCCTGAACACAGTTGTTCTTATGATGAAGGTAAACCATTTTATCAGTAATAAATATATATGTATAACCTAATCCTTTAAGATAATAATATAATTTATTTCTATTTTAGTATCACTCAGCCCCAACGGCTTATGATGCTGTCCTGAAGCACCTCAACACAGCCTTCACTGTGCTATTCTCCATGGAGTGTATACTGAAGATCTTGGCTTTTGGGTTTGTGGTAAGTATGAATGCTTGTAGCAAAGCTGTGAGAAATTTTACTTTCTTTTTTCCCCAATACATTTTAAAAATCTTACATATTTCACATTATTTTTTGTCTGCAGAACTACTTTCGAGACACTTGGAATATTTTTGATTTTATTACTGTTCTTGGCAGTATCACAGAAATAATTGTGGACTTGCAGGTAAGATGTGGTCCGAATGTTAAATGTTGCCACCTAAAAATAGATAAAAGAATTGGCAGTGTTCAATGGAGTATCAAATTCCTGAGCTTTGTGCGACGGTCACTGACCCCGCTCTAGATTTAAGTCATGTTGTCTTTACTTGTGCAAACCATCATTTACACTCTGTCATTCCTGCCTGGCTGTCACTTTTTCCCTCTCTGGCTGTGTTACTCTTCCACTAATCAACTCTCCCTCCTAGTCGGTGAACACCATCAACATGAGTTTTCTCAAGCTTTTCCGGGCAGCCAGGTTGATCAAGCTGCTGAGACAGGGATACACCATCCGCATTCTGCTTTGGACATTTGTACAATCGTTCAAGGTCTGTAGTTTATCCTCTTTTTTTTTTTAGTTAGATTATCAATTTATTAATGGGGAGAAAGGGTTACGTTTTCCTATCATTAATATGAACTTGCTATTTTTTTCTTCTCTGACAGGCTCTACCCTATGTCTGCCTACTTATCGCCATGCTTTTCTTCATATATGCCATAATCGGAATGCAGGTATTATTTTTCTTAGTGTTTAAATAATTGTCAAAAATCTTAAAATAATCTCTATCAGCATAAAAATTTTTTCTTTTAAATATCCCTTGTAAATGGATGTTTGCCAAGAAATTCCTTGACACACGTGGACAAAAAATATTTGGTTACCTTCGTTTAATGAAAGAAAACCTCACAATAGTCACAGAAATAACTTAAATTGACAAAAGTAATAATCAATAAAAGTTCTATGAAGATGAACAAATGAAAATCAGACATTGCCCATGAAATAGGGCAAATCATGAACCAATCAAAAACATTTTTAAATGAACTTAAATCTAACAAAAGAAACAAGAAAAACAATTGCAAACATCACAGATTATATTGCTAACTGTAGTTATGCACTCCACCAGTGGGGATTGAGTGCATAACTGGGGTTAAGGATCTTGCTCAAGGACCCAGAGTGGCAGTCTGTGGGAGTGGGGCTGGAATTCAGAACCTCTGGGACCAAAGCACAATGCCCTAACCACCAGTTACCTATTCCATGCCCTTGGGGAGCAGTGGGCTGCCACTGCGCGATGCACACGGAACAATGTGAGGTTAAGAGTCTTGCTCAGGGACCCAAAGTGGTGTGTATCAGACTCAACTGTAGTCACAGGCATATCAAGCTCTTTCCCTTGCTTCCCCTGGTCCATGTTGAGTGTGGTACACACCATATCACCAAACAGCACAATGAGTACCTTTAGCCCTACATATAGGCCCAATGACTGATTACAAGATTGTAGATACCTGCAATCCTAATTATGGGACACACTGATTTAACATGTCCCTTTGGTCACATTATTTTTTATCTTTTCTAGGGATATCTTATTTTTTGTCTAGGTTTCTTTCATGAGTTTAAAACCATGCGGTTAAACCTTGGTTCAAATTGTTTGACTTAATTTCTGTTACCCCGGTTGAGGAGTAGCAAAAGTTTTGTCCACGTGTATAAATTAATCCTAGTGATTATATTGTACTGTACAGATGTATTTGTTTGTTTTTTTTCTTTCTGGTGAATATTTTGATATGAAACTAAGGTCTGTATCCTGTGTAAAAAGCTGACTTCCTGTGTTTTCTGTAGGTGTTTGGAAACATCAAGCTGAATGACGAGAGTCACATCAATCAGCACAACAATTTTAAGACCTTTTTCAGTGCACTGATGCTTCTGTTCAGGTGAACTGTACCAAGAAATATAAGGAAAATCGCTTCTTCAATATGTCAGTTTAAGCTACTGATTTATATGTTGCTTTATTTACAATGGGACAATGCATATACATAGAAATGCTCACAGCAAGGTTCCATGTGTACATATGCCTGTAGCACACAGGCTAATTTTCATCTCAAGCCCCATGACAGGTTAGTGTAAAAGCATGAAAGACAAGATATGTTAAAATGAACAGTTAGTGGAAAAGTAAAGTACATTACAAACACTTGTTAGTAAAATCTTATTGTAGAAAAATATATACATAGTGTTTTTATTAAAATTAAATAGGCAGTATATACAGTACACAGAACACATAGTTAGTGAAATACATTAATGTGAATTATATTAGTATTATCCAGGAGCCATTTTTCTCTGTTTTATAGAAGGTTTTTAGTTATGAGACGTCCCTGAGTTCTGTGTGATGCTCAGGTACTTATTCCCCAGGTGTGTGATGTTCTCACCAAGAAGGCCAACTGCCCAAAGCTGCTTTTTGTTAAGGAAACGTTTCAGTCTCCTCTGCTGTTGGATCAAGTGCAAACATTGTTTTTTAGATGGATATATTCTTGTATAGGAGATGCAACTTGTCTAAATGATGGATAGTCTGTTTAATGCTGCTTATGTTTTAAATACCAGGAGTGCAACAGGGGAATCCTGGCAGGAGATTATGCTCTCCTGTCTGTCTGGACAGGAGTGTGAACCAGACCCCTCCATTGCCCCCCTCACCATGTCTCCAGACCATGAGGGCGGGTGTGGGACCGACTTCGCCTACTGCTACTTTGTCTCCTTCATCTTCTTCAGCTCTTTTCTGGTCAGATTCAACAAATAATAAGAATAAAAAAAATAAAATGTTGTTTTGTTTTAACTCAATTTATCCCTTTTAAATGACATGTTTATCCCAGATCTTTGTTCTTATGTCTTTTTTTAGATGCTGAATCTGTTTGTGGCTGTTATTATGGATAACTTTGAGTACCTGACACGAGACTCCTCTATCCTGGGCCCTCACCACCTGGATGAGTTTGTCAGAATATGGGGCGAGTATGATAGACTGGCATGGTGAGAACTGACCTCATTTACACTACTCTCTCATAGTTTACTATGTGCGCCACATCAAAGTCAATTTTCCAACTGTATCCAGCAGAGGGCAGCCAAAGAGCGTGAAATGTTACAGCTTTAGAATACACTGCTCTGCATTCTGATTTTGGCTTTGAAGATGAATTCATATCCCTCAAATTTTTTCAAATTTTTTCACAATACAACCACAGACTTAAATGTATTTAATTGGGAGAGTAATGTGGATAATAAAAGCAACTGAATTGTCCCATGGCCTGCTTGTTAGAGAATAACACTGAACAAAAATAAAGACAAGCAACACGGACTGGTTAGAAATACACTTGCGGAGAGCTGTATTACAAACTTTGAAAATGAACCCTGTTTTTTAATGGTTAGTACTTTGACTGTTCCATAATCACAATTTAACCTAAACCGCTTTGATTATAAGAGTATTTGTTTTAGTTTTGTTGAAGCCTTTTTCCACAAGGTTGGTTAAAATGTTTGTAATAAATCAGATGAAAACTTTTGATGCAACTATCATCAAAACATCCAGTAGTTTGTTTGTAGTGGAAGCAAGGATGTGTTTGTTGTCAACCAGCTGATTTCTGAAAGAATGGATCAAACGTAGAGTAAGAGCTACCGTAGATAATATGAATCGAAACATATATCTTAGTTGGCCTATACCCAAATCTACAGCAAATAAAATCCAGTCATGCTACCAGTCTGTCTGAATGTGAGCTGTTATCAGTGGAAGTGTATGTGGAAGTAAATGTGAATACTGTAGATCAGGAAATAATGGTGCAGATTTGTAGCTGTTGCTGCAGCATACAGTAAGGCGGCTTTACAGAGTATTGACTCATGAGGGCCTAAAAGAAACAGCATTCCAAACTTTTTAGATTTTGATTTGGACAAGAATTTTAAAACCATCTATCACTTTCCTCCCAATTTACAATCATTTTCTACATAACGTGGTTCTATCTCGAAAAAAAAGTATTATAGGGTTGAAAGATGAGAAAAGCTTTAAGGGTTGTAATGATAGATTGGGGTTGTTCAGTACCCACCTAAAATAACCTTTTTAAGGGAAAATAAACTTTCTGCTTTTCATTAAACTGTCCACTTTCTGCTCTCCCTACTCTATGTTTCCTCAAGTGGCCGGATTCATTACACAGCTATGTACGAGATGTTGACCCACATGTCTCCGCCTCTCGGCTTGGGTAAAAAATGTCCGGCTAAGATTGCCTACAAGGTAATAAAAAAGTGATCACTACTTTTATTTGAAGAGAGGAAAAGCTAAGTGACAAATAGTGTAAAAAGTAATATAAAGAGTAAATCTAAACTTTTTTTATTTTTTTAATTTAAAGTAACAAGAAATCTGACTATTTTCTTAATCTCATGGTTAGGTTTTGCAGAGTAACTTTGTTTTTGTGTTTGTTTTCTTCAGAGGTTGGTGTTGATGAATATGCCTGTTGATGAGGACATGACCGTCCACTTTACCTCCACTCTAATGTCACTCATCCGCACAGCTTTAGACATAAAGATAGCTCGAGGTCAGAGTCATGTGTATTTACAGTCAAAAAAGTAAAATGTCAGATATGAATAGAATAAATATTACAAATTAAAAAGTGTATATTTGTTCCAGGCGGTGAGGACCGTATTGCTTTAGATGCTGAGCTGCAGAAGGAGATCAGTATAATTTGGCCGTATCTGCCGCAGAAGACCTTGGACCTACTGGTACCCATCAACAAAGGTCAGGCTCTACCTGAAAAGGAATTTTTCATTCTGCTGCTGAGAGACCATGGGTGAGACTTAATGAAGTGTATCCGCTGCTCCTACAGATACCGACATGACAGTAGGAAAGATCTACGCTTCAATGATGATAATGGACTACTTCAAACAGAACAAAGCAAAGAAACTCAGGCAACAGCTGGAAGCCCAGGTCAGCACAGCATGTTTCTATGAGCTCGGTTGCATCTCCTTTTGAAAGAGTGATTTTTTTTTTTTTTTTGTTAAAACTTTTCCTTTGTTGTTTTTATTTCATATTGCTAGATAGATTATTCACCTGGTGTTCATACAGTGAAGAAAATTCAAATAAAAATCAAATTTCAAAAATTATTTGTACTTTCAAGGATTATCTCCATATGCCTTCCTTTACTTCTTCCTGTCTTCCTATTCATTGAATTCTCCTTTCTTTATTGTGCCCTTCCCTCTTTCCTAGTTTCCTTTCATCTGAACCTATTCATTCTTAGAGTTTCCATATACCTATCCATCTATTTTGGGTATAATGGCTACAAGTTATCAGGTGAATAAGGACACCGTAACCAGTATTGAAAAGTTATTATAATTAAACAATTCAGTAACTAAAACAAATTTGATTGATTAATTACACAACAAATGATCTTTTTTATTGATGTACTGTTATTTGTCATCATTGATCTGCTTACTGCTTTTAAAAGCACAATATCTAAGATAAGAATGACATCAGACCAAAAACATCTCTTCAATTCAGTAGTTTAAAAGTACATTGAATGCCTAAAGGTTGTTAATTTTTGAATGGTACATTAAAAAAAATAAAAATAAAAAACAAGCCTTGCATATTCTAGTTTATTAGTGTATTAAATATAACTATACATCCATATGTTTTTCTCAGACCCCTATTCAGTGCTGTGTGATGATCACTCTAAACACTGACCATTTTGTGACTTATTTGGTGTCCTGCTTCAGGTCCATTTAACTTATTTTTTCCAAAGCTTAAACTTCATGGGTGATGTCTTGTGCTGATTTTTTAAAATTTCCCTCATGGTATTATTTTCCCTCTCAAATGAAACCCCCCCAACATGTTCCCAGTCCTGTACTTCATTGATGGTATCGAGCCCTTTAAGCTTCCCCCTTTTTCTATTAATGGTAACTGAGGCCACACATCATATTTCAGGCCATCGGATGATAGGAACTGTCTCTGATCCTTGGTACATTTTCGTATTTTAATCTGACTTTTGAGGTTTTGGAAGAATAGGCCTGCTTGCTCTTCTCTGACTGGGTTTTCATTTTGATTAATAATGACATTATCTGACCAGCTTCAAACAGAATCTTCCCTATGATTTTGTCTTTGTTCTGGTGTTGATGCACAAAATGACAGATGGGCATTTCCATGCAGTTTATACTTTGCATATGAACAGGTTGATATTCAGGATGAGCCAAACGTGTTTGTCCACACTTATTTCTATTTAGTATCACTTTCTGTTAATTTTCTGGCATTTAACAAAAACAGATAGTTGTGGTTTTCATCACAGACCTTAAACAAGGGATTCCTAGTCTGATACAATGTCAGACATTTGGCAGAAAAGTCCATTCCTTGGTGTCATTGTTCTACAAATACATTTCAAATGGTCAACATGTCCATAGCTCTGTTAATAAAGAAAAAACTTGAAAATGTTATCTTTTCATTATTTTCTACCCATTTTAAGCAGATGTATTCTACTCAAGAAAAAAAAAAGATATGAGAAGAAAGAGGAAAATAAACCTAACTGATTAAATAGAAATAAAATTAAATGGAATCCACTCAAAATTATATCGCCTTAAAAGTTAGAGACTATTTTATCCATGGTTTTCTAAAGATCAAAAAAAAAATCTACCCTGAGGTTTAGATGTGTATTTTATGTGCTGTATGTATTATTTTGTCTTGTTTCAGAAGAGCAACTTGATCTTTAAACGTCTGGATGCCTCCACCCTGCCTGAGGACATCCTGTCCAACACCACCCCCCTGCCACTGATGGCTCACAGTGCGGGCTCTGCCCTGTAAGTCTGCAAATGTTTACAAAACATATATATTTATGGTGCATTGCTGCATTTATTTCTTACTGTTTTTTTTCTCCCTCTCTTTATTGCTGTCTCCCTCACAGAACCAGAGGAGGCTTTGTGGCTTTGAGTCCTATCTCTCCCCAGGAGCTATTTTTGCAGCCCATAAGCTCAGACATCGATGCCAGTCAACAGCAAAATGTGGTGAGATAGAGGACAGACACAGCTACCATGACTGCATTCACACATATCACATTAATCTAATGTACACATTTGTTTACCATTGAATTTTCTGCAGATGTTGCATTTTGAGAATCAAAAAGTCAGAATTTTATATAATTCAATCTCTTATAATGAGTAAAAATGTTTGTCATATAAATAACTGGTCACCGATTTTTCATAGCCTGGCAGAGCTCTGCAATGCTGCTTTTGTGCTCCTGACTGTTAGTCCTTAGAAGGTTGTAATATTGGAGACAGATTGTTCCACTGTTGGTTTGTTGCTGTGTCTTTACTGTCTGGCTGTACCGCTCTAAACTACCTGACAGTCTAATAGCAAGTTATTCTGAAGTACTTCCATGTAAGTGTGCAGAGGAGTGTATCTTTCCCTTAGACAGATGCTGTCTTGCTTTAGGACTTGATCAAGCATGACTATTCCTCCTCCAAGCTGAAGCATGCAATGCCTTAAAAGATGATTTATAATCATTGAACCATACCAAACACTGTCATATCACAAACTTTGCAATATGTCATTAAGACACCTTTAGATTCCTCTTTTGTGTCATTCAATCACCAAATAAATACAGCTGTGCTGTTAATCTCTCAGAGGTTTGTTAGGGGACTTAAACGGATAAACACAAAATGGTGAAGACTTTGGTAGACTGCACACAGATGAGCTGTAGGAAAGTTTAAACAGGCTGCAAACCTACCAAGACTTTAGTTTTTCACCTGAGATGATACGATGGGAGAGAAAGGCATCACTTAGGGAGACATCCAAGAGGCCCGCAGTAGAGATTGAGGGGCTGCAGAGATCCAGTGCTATGTTAGTAGAATCTGAATCTGATGGGACAATTATTGGTGGTGTCCTTTCATTGAGAAGTAGCAAGAAGAATGACGTGTGCCACAAATGGAAAAAGCAGCATGTTCTCTATACTTCCTGTGTACAGAACATGCTGAACACTTCAAACATATAATCCCCATCCAAAAAGGGGGAGCGGCAGCATCTTGCCATGGCAATTCTTATGTTTGGCACTGAACCGCGTCCGAGTGGGTGGAGCAAAATTACAAGGCAATCCAGAAATGAATCTGTTACCAGACTGCAGGATGCTTAGGAAGCAGCTACAAGCATTGGAAACATTTAAGTAGAGCTGCTGTGAAACAGTTTAAAGCATTTTTAGGTGAGTCAATCCACTCAGTCAAAGTTAAGACCTAAATACATAAAAGAAAACCTTCAGTGAAACAAAAGTTCTGGGAGTTGAGCTGATGTTCACGCATGCTATATTTTCATGAGCAGATTTATTTTGTAAGAAGCTTTTTTTTTTGCAGGTGTAAAATGTTAGTAGATTTAATTACAACAAGAGACGATTCTAAAAGGTGTTGACTTAGGGAACTGAAAGAAATGGCATACTTATACTTTTTTATTTGTGAGTTTCTTCCACTTCAAACTCATTCTGCTGGTCTAATACCAGAATGCCACTGATCTTTGTCTTTTAAATGTGACTTAAGCATTAGGTAGAACAATAAATCTGCCATCTACTAAAAGCTCTACATTTTTTCTGTACTTTCTTGTTCTTCTGCTCCCTGTGCTCTTCCTCTACAGACTCCCTTTCTCATTACTCTCTCCCCTTAATAAAGTCTAACTTATTTTATTTGTTAATCTGTTTGTGTGTGGTCAAAATAGCTTATATTTAGGCATTTTGGATTGTGGTTGAGATGGCCATTTGTCATGGAAGAGTTTGTCCTTTTTTCCCTCATTTGGACTGAGCCTCTGGAGGGAGTGCTACCAGAGGGGGATAAACCTTATCGGTGCTCTGTCTTTCCTTGCCCTCCTGTCTGATTTCTGTACTCACGTAGGTGGGCGAATGCATTTGGGGAATTGAAGCCCCATTGGAGCTTCCACTTGGGAGAGGCCTGTGTGTGCGGGCCTCCTCTATGCCCCGTCTGGCTGTAGAGTCGCAGGTACACACAATCTTCCTTGACATGGCTCCCTGGCTGGATCTTGCAGGCTTCGATGGCTGCATGGGCTCTTAAGCCAAAGTGTTCAGGTTTTTCTCTATGTGCACGGTTTGTTTATTTTTAAATTCAGAAGAGTTTGCTGCTTTCAGACTTTGTCAGAGGTTCAAAGACCTGTCGGGGTGTCATCTATGAATGTCGATAGCTCTACTTGTTATGACTTTTATTCCAAAAGCAGAGAAACAACCAGACCAAAGGATGCACTGCACTTCTGCACCAATGAATGCATGAAAACATGTTATTTCCTGTTTTTCTAAGTCCTTTGTATGGAATCTGAGATTTTCTTAAACAACAATTGTTTCTATCTGTGGTCACAAAAGGAAGGGGAGGCTACAAGCGGCTCCATGAAGCGTTCAGTATCCACGGTTGCAGATCAACGTGTAAATGGTCTCTGGGAGGAGGAAAAAAGCCCCGAAAGAGTGTACCGACCTCGACACAAAAGCTACAAGGCTGCTGGTTAGTCATTTAATTTATATCCTTCTTTCTTGCATTGATCGTTTCAAGTTCCTGTCTCAGTTGTGAACATGGATTTTGTCTTACCAAAAGAACATCATAAAATCTACATTAGATCCAGCTTTTCCACTCATAAAGAACATTCAAAGGGCCGATCTTCAAAGGATTTCACATATTAAAACAACATTTTTGTTGTCACATAGCAGAAGTTTCAAGAAGGTGCAACTTGGTTTGGATTTGCCGTTCAGCTGTCACCTTTTTTTGCATATGTGCCTTCAATATGATGATAATATTCTGATGACCAAACCGAGCAAATTTATGGGCAGATGTAAATATTTAAAAGTGATTTTTCAAATCTTAATCTCAACTTTGGCTGCAGTTTTTGCATCTATTTTAGTATTTCTAAAAGATTGCAACCTTTCATTAAAAAAAAAATAAAAAATCTAAGGTCATTGTTGCCACAAAGAAGGCTTTGGTACAATGCCAGAGGATGGAGAGAGATTCAGTATAAACCATATGTTGGAAAAATATAATCTGTAACTATTTGAGGGTCATCTTTACTATACCTGCTTTAGCAATCAATTTGAACGATTGATTTAGCAATCAAAACCAATCGCCTTTGCTTGAATCCATCCAGTATTATAGCTCTAAAAAAAATGTGATATTCTTAGCACAGAGAGAGGAATACATACTCCTAAAGATAGGGGGAAATCCCCATAATTGTAATACTTTTTAAATTTAATGATAGAATATACATATATTTACATTTACTTATATTAGGTGAACATACATTTACAAACTGACCAGAACTTACTACGCATCTGTGGCTGAACCACAACAAACCAGCAATTAACTTGTATTGACAAGAATAAAAGAATATTTTAGGTTAAGAAGAAATGTTCAGTAATGTTTTTATTCAGCACATTTGGTTCAAATATTCTCTGTGCTTTATTTGAGCACAGAGAATGCTTAACTCTAAGAGAAAAATGTTTGATGTTCTCTCTTCAAAATCAGCTAATATTTAGTTTATGGTGAGTAAAAAAAACACAGTTTCCCTAGTAATTTAGTTCTTTGACTCTAATATTTAGATTTAGATTTATTTATTTATTTGACAGGGATAATTTACATTAATAAGCATTCCTGCAAATGCACCAGAATTAGTCAAAAGGCCAATTTTCATCTGTTGTCCCTGGACAGATGTTAAAATTGTCTACCTATGCATGAGGAGAAATCCAGATTGATGTGTTGGCTAAGATTACAGATTATAGCCCTGGAACACAACATCCCACAGAAATCATTCAAAATGTTCAAAAATCATCAAATGAACATTTTTAGAATAAGTCATCAAAGTTAGAATGTGATTTTCAATATTCTTTACATATTTTGACAATCATCCACAGAGTGCATATTCATTTAACAGTGTTACAGAATGCTTACTTAAAATAGAATCCACATAATATGGATTTGGCTATTCAGACTTTCCATAACATACAGTCTCTTTGTGTTCATACCAGACAAACCCTCTTGTTTGCATTTCTACATCAAGCCATAGATGCCTTCCCTATGAAAATAATGCATTCTTTATAAGCTGAAATTAGATAAATGGGAAGAACAATAAAACTTGTTAGTTTATATGTTTGATAGTAGCATATACCATATTATTATATACGAAAACATGTAAATATAACATTTGAACCACTTTTAAATAAAAACTAATTTATTGATGGAAAATCACCTCTACTACACCGATTTCTCTGCTTTTTTTCTATTTAGAAAATATGTTCCTCACCAGTCAGTCAAAGCTTAGTGTTGCTTGGCAAGATTTAAAGTAGTATCAGTGCATTAATAATAAGTGTTTTCATGTCATTATTATTATAGGGAATTATTTAAACCTCTTTTTTGTTTTCATGTGTTTCGACTATGACTCCCAGTGTCCCGATCTGAGCATAGGGAGCGTGGTCGATCTAAGGAGCATTGCCACCTCTTGTCTCCAGACAACTCAGAGGAAAGAAGCTTACAGCCCTCACGTTCCTCCAGCGTAGACCCAGCTCTTCCTCAGGATAAACAGGTTTGTGTATAATATTTTTTCATTTGATCTGGATAAATCTCAAAGCTAAGTTCTTCTTTTTAAAAAAAAAAAAAAAAGCTTTTACCAACTCATACGGATTTTAGGTGATTCAAAATTCTATATGAATGTAATTTTTTTTCACCTTTCTGCAATTAGTGAGGTGGTATAATGCTTTGTATGAAAGAGTATCTGTATTATATATTAAACCTGAAAATTTACAGTGCTGACATTTAAATGGCGTCAGTGATTATTTTAGTAGCATGGCTGAAAAAACTAAAACATACTGTCTGTTTCCCTAAAGAAATACAGTCCAGTATCACACCAATATTGTCCTACTCGCTTCAGTCTATTCGTTAATTATTAAAGTCTAAATTTTAAAAAAAACTTGACATGCCATTACCTTACTAATAGCTGTTTACATGTCTGTGGTTTCTCCGTTTAAGCACCTTAATGATAGTGAAAATAGCTTTCTTTAAACGTTTGTCCTTCAGTTACCACTTCTGATTACTTTAGGAAGACCATGATGGCTAGTTCTAATTGAGGGTGCTAAGTGGTTGCTGTACACTCCTATAAACACCTTGGAATGTGGCTAGGCAGCTAATTAAACTGGACAACACATATCAACTATCTGTGCAGAAAGTAGAGCGGGCTGTACTTCCTGAGGAGGCTGCAGTCTTTAAACAGCTGCAGGAAACTCCTGTGAATGTTTTACCAATCTACAGTTGGCAGGCTTCTCTTCTTCCTATCCAAAATGGATACCTTCAGATTGGACAAATTTAACTGATGGGTGGGCTTTGTGATTTGCATGAAACTGACAGCAGCAGAAAATAAAGAACTGAGCAACCTGTTGGACATTATGGATGATGCCAGTCACCCTATGTGTCTGTTGACTGATATTTATTTTATTTTATTTATTTAACCTTTATTTAACCAGGGAAACAAGCCCATTGAGATTAAAAAACTCTTTTTCAAGGGAGTCCTGGCCAAGAGGCAGCAAAGTTACATAAGAAACATAGATACATTAAAATAAATGACGGGTACATAAAAAATTTAAAAACATATAAAGTAAAACAATTACAGATCATTGAGGCTGTTTCAAATTCTTTCACTTTCTTTTCACAAATAACTTTCAGCTTAAAACCATTTAAAGATAAAAACTCAGTCAATTTCCAGTTTATTTTTAAAAAATTCCACGCACAAGGAGCAGTGTAGCTAAAGGCTAGACTGATAAACTGCAACTGTCAGAATTTCATTTTTTCCGTAGTTTTTTTTTTTTTTTTTTTCATGAGAGAGACATCTCTTAAAATAAAATTTAAAACACTAAGGGTGATTAAACTTTCACTAGAAAGACAAATCCTTTCTTGTGTGTGGTTTGGTTGAATTGTTATCCACATCCATCTGTCTATCTGTCTGTCTGAGAATAAGGAGCATTTATTTGAAACATGTTGCTATATTTATAAGCAAAAGCATACTGACTCAGAACAGTAAATTTTTGCATACAAAATAAAAGTAAAACACTCTATAACTATTAACTATAACCAAAATGCCTGCCAGTGTCTAACTCTCTCAGATGTATAATAATTCAAATAAATGTAAAGTTTTTTTTTTTTTTTTGTTTCCAAGTTGTTAGAACCTGGAAATTATCTCATTATGAGCAACAAATGATTTCTCTTAACCTCATTACTTATGTACTAAATACACCTTCAAAAATAAGCAGAAAATATCAAATTTTATCCATTTTGTCACACAAAAAAAACAAACCTTAACCCATTTTGTTTGGATTTGTTTGTACAAAGAGGACTATAAAATTGTGTTGCTTTGTCTTTATTAGATTCTATTTTGGGAAATTAATGTAGTTGAATGTGACATCATGTCACAAATACACATGTATGTTGTTGTTGTTTTTTTATAACTCAGAACTATCGATTCACAATTATTTTATTGAGGTAAATCACATTTTGAAGGTATGAAAATTGATAGCAAAGGGCTAAGATCAGCTAATATAATAATTGTACTTGTATATTTTTCTTTCAGAGTAACAGCTCAGACAGCCCAGTGCCCTCCACTTCAGAGTCCAGCACACCCAGTGGCCGACGACCTCTCTCACAAACGCCCACCCGATCTCGCCCTCATATCTCCTATTCCCCACTCGTGTGTCGCACAAAAGTCTCCGTCGGAGACGATGATGATGAACAAGGCAGCCCAGAGTCCACAAGGAGAGGCAAGGCTTCATGGGAGACCCAAGAAGGAGCTACAGGGGAGAGGCGGAGCCATCTTGACATAAACGCATCTCCACCTCGACGCTACCCTTCAGAGCCTTTCCTGACCTCACAAGAGGATGACCACAGCCCGGACCCCTCTGGTCCCATGGAGACGTTGACCTTTGAAGCAGCAGTGGCCTGCAGCCTTGGACGCTCAAACACCATTGGCTCAGCCCATCCACGCTGGCGGACCGGCTGGCAGGTCCCCAACGGACATTTTAGGAAACGCCTGATGCAGACAGCCTCAGCTGCAGGCTGCGACCCCCTGAGTGACACAGAGGAGGATGACAGGTGCTAGAAATGGACATTGGCACCAGGACCGAAAGTTAATTTTTCTTCTTGCATCAACAAAATTGGGAATGATGGGGAGAAGAAAAAAAAAACACACAATGTCAAAGACCTTAACACTTCCTGAAGCTGTAGATGCCAACATACGAAGACTACTGACAATCAATAAGGTCTATTTCCTGACTTCTACTTGATGATACAGAGTAATAATGCATCTCAAGTTGTCACTAAGTACAGAAATAACTGAAAGGAATGGACTGGGTCATGCCATTTGTGTCAATAGGTAATTTCATTTCTGCAGTTGTTTTTAACAGATTATGCGTTGCTCTAAAAGTTATTCATTTATCTGTGGGGTGTGTGAGTATGCAACTAGGTTTTGTTATGACTTTTGTAAATAAATTGTAATCATTTGCCATCTATTAGAACAGGTTCGATGCAACAAGCCATCGTAAAGAGGCAATCTAAAACTTTGCCAGGCAATGATATATTTAATAATAAAACTCTAACAATGCTGGATTTTTTTACTATGTGAATGAATGTGAATAAGTCAGCTGTCTAATTTCCCTTCTTTATTTTTTGTTTTGGTATTAAACATTGTAATTTCGAAGATGGGGGGATAAGATTACAGTAATAGGACATCTTAGAAAGAATAATTTGTGATTTCACTCAATGCTATTAAATCATGCAATCACCAAACCTCAGACCTTAAAATGTTGTCAGTTATACATCATTTAGTTCATTTAATCCCTTTAAACCGTTTGAACTTTGGGGGAAAAGACTCTGCGTGGCTTAAAACTAACACTGCATATCATGTGAAACTTAAATTTGCAGCAACGTACTAAAGGGATGTCTTTCCTCAACCTCTGAGCATCTCAAAAAACTCCAGAGTGCAGAATCACCACATAATTATAAGAAAACTGATCTTCTGTATCTGCTATCGTGAACACTACATAAAGACTGTGAAACATGAACTTTAGAAACCTTTAAGGTACACCATGACATACTACAATACGTTTGCAAATAATGTACAGAGAACATATGCTGTTTATAACATTTTAAAAAAAAGGAGGGGGAAAAAAATTGTCTTTGTTGACAAGTTTTAAAGCTAAGTTGGAATCTTTGGAAATATTCATATTAAGGTTGTGTGTTGTTTTATTTGCCTGACAAATAGATGAAATTATTGAAGCTCACTTAACCAAAAGAATTGTACTTTAAGTTCCAGGAATGCAAATGCTCTGTGGGTTCGTATGTGTAAAAAAGTTGTATATATATATAAGTAAAAGTGTCCTCAAGTGGCCATTGTTATCTGAAGTCTTCTCTTGTCCTTTTTTCTCTTTTACCAAGTGAAGCAACGAGTCAGACTGAGGTCTGCTCTTTATGATTACCTTACTGCTTTTGTATACATTATAGTCCATCTGTTATCTACTAATTAAATTCAATTCACAACACGTCATCTCAAGGCACTTTAAAGAGACAATTCAACTAGATCGTGCAATCAGATTGAACGTTTTCTAAGGAAAACCAGCTGATTGCATTGACTCATTGACTCAAAAGCAATCCATCATGAGGATATATATTGCAGTTAAGATTAAAAAAAATACCAATATCTAATGAGGGAAGACCACTACTCAGGTTCTGAGTTGCATGAAAATATAGTGCAGGTATAGAAAGAGCTTGAGCAAAAAATACAATTAGTTGTAGGCCAATGCTGAGTATGGCGTATAAAAATATGTACAGTTTAATAGCCGATTGATACAAAACCTTAACTCTCTAAACTGCTCATAGCTAATCGTATCTTTAGATTTTCTAGACAGATTAAAAAGCAATACAACAGGCTTTGGGCGTTCTAGTAGGATTTATGTCTCAGACATTATTAAATTATATGATTTAATTTCATTGTTTTATTTTAATTCATGCAATAATTTAATTCATAATAATTTAAATAATAATTATTTTAATTCAATTTTAGCATAGAATTAGAATTCAAAGTAGGAAAGTTAATGTTTTATCAAAATGTTTGCCTATATACAACTTGCTGATTGCTGTAATAAAAATAATAATAAAAAAAGCAAGATATGTCTGTTATTTAATCTTTACACACACAGTTTAGAATGCTGCTGTGGTGTTTGAAAAGACAAAATACAGAAAAATGAACAATCAGTATGCTATGCTAACAATAACCAGTTTTGGCCCTAGCAGTCAGCATGCCGCTGTTCTATTATCCACTTGTATCAGATACATGTGTGGCACAGAAAGAGGCCCTAGCACAGAATAAACATGCAAGAATAGCTACTGAAATCCACATTAAAATCCACCTGTTTCTGTAAATGCAAACACACAAGATTTTTTTTTTACAAGATCAGAGGATAAATTGTTTGATCAGAGGATAGCTTCTCTAATGTTGTATAACTATTTGGCATAAAAAGCTAAGGATGTACAACAAAACAATTTTCAAATCAGTATTTTACTCTGCTACATATTTCTAGAGCAGGGGTCACCAATGTTAGGATAATAATCATTGAAGATGTGGGAGTTTATTACACCTTGGTATTGGCTGCCTGTTGCATGTCAGAACATGTTTTAATCTAATTAGGACAGTTCCTCTGTCTGGATAAACAGTTATAATCTTCATTCTGTATGTGAAAAACATTTGGAACTGGAATGAGAGCAGTGTCCTTCAGCTAAGAACGATGTGTAATATTTTGATAAGGCTGGAGCCATGGATGTCTAATCATCTGCTAACGTGTATGATGTAAAATCGGGTGATATGGCAGACTGGAGATGTATAAAATACCTTTTTAACTGTTAATCGGGGCCACTTCCTGTGAGGTGAGCCCAAAGGTGAGAAGCTGCCTTCTGTACAGTCTAAGCAAATTCTCTGATCTGAGTAAGATTACAATTTCTATCAGATTTTTTTTTCATGTCTCCTGGTTATTTAATACATATGGGTTATGAAGTGTTATTTAAAGAGTTTGTCCCGAGTGACCTCTCTTCAGGGAAAAGAACCGGAGAGATGGAGCATCAAAGTGCATACACAGAGCCAATCTTTAACACTAAACTTTTTAAGGCTGAAGGCTACTTCATGGGTACTGAGGGAGGGATAACAAA